TTTACAAGCCTGTACTTTGTTACTTTTACTTGAGTAAAGAAGTTTAATCAGTACTTCCACTTTTACCAGAGTATTTTTTAACACAAGTATCAATAACATTGGAAGGTATGTGTTTCCATCTTTGCTGGAAGCTAATATCAAATTATTTTGACTGATTCTACAAGAACAGCAACAATACAGAGTTAAACAGGATAACCAGGAAATTTAAATCAGTTTATCTTTTAGGCATTGCTTTGGACATTGAAATAAATTATATACAAAAATAATACTTAAAGGTATAGTGGACAATCCTCTCCTACATGCCAGTTTTGGTGGCATGCTCGTTTCTCACTGCGTATACTAACTTCTAGTGTTTTTGTATCAAGTGAGCTTCGGTTTCTGCCATTCATTGTGTCTCTATTACTCTCACTGCATGCGGTTGATGATTAAAATATGCTCTGGGACTTGCTGTTGCCACAGCAACACATTAGGTCCAAATGCTCTTCCTGATGCAACCGTGAATACGCCACTTCATTTCCGTCAAAGACTGTAAACTTGTCACCATGGAGACATTCAATACAACCAGAATATATTTAGGCGATGCTTTCTAGCATTGGCAGAAGAGAAGGTACAGATGTGCAGTTATCCTGAAACTAACTGCTATTTCTTAGCTTAATTCCAGATAGTTCATTATAACTTTAATAAAGAAACAAAATATCAAACTTTAGTAACCCAAACCAACAGAAGACAGGAACATTAAAATTACAAATAGATAAATAAATCTATCTTCATTCTAATTGTAGTTGTTTTCATCTTATTCTTATCCAGAGATGGTTACTATTTCTATGTGATTTAAACAGATTTTCTTTCATGGGAGACATGCTCTTTAACTTTCTTTGCATCTATAACAGTGAATTTAGTTCAAATATCCGTGATTCTTGTAGACACGTCATCGTCGTTGGACAATCACGTCATACTCTGGCGATGTATCAAGTTTTTGCAGAGACACATAAGTTGGATCAACTTCAGCGGGTTTTATCTTTCTTCTTGAGTTCCTTCAAAGAAAGATTTTGTCAAAAATGTACAACCTATATTTTTGGACAGTAAATATACAACAAGACTTACCAAAGGACCAAAATTTGGATCATACACAAAACATTTACACCAAGTGAAACACCAGCAACGACCCAGGGAAGCACTCCATAGCCAGAATCACAATGATTCATAGGGTTAACTGTAAAATTACAGAAACACTGGTGAATTGAAATGAATTGCAATTAAGAATATCAAGATTTAAACTGCACTTTAAAAAAAGACAATTTATCTATTGTATTTTATTTCTGAAAATGTTATAAGAAGTTATTTTAACATAGACTTCTTCTGTCAGTTAATGTTTCTGATATGTTGCTGTACAAATGTAGCGTCCAGTTCCTTCTGCAGTTACGTTAATGCTGGAAAAAGAGAAATGTCCACTTCTTTTTCTCTTGTAGCTAGATTAATATGCTGTTATCCTCTGTCCTTAAAATACAGTCCTGAAGATCCAAGGACATTGTCCAAAATCAGCTCAGACTATCTTGATCCCTGTGGTTCTATGATACAGTATATGATAGGTTTTCTAATATCTGGGGACATAGTTTGTTCAATAAGATAACATTTATGTGGCTAAATAAAGTTTAAGAGGTTAATTTGTGTTGAATTCAAATTTACCCAATTGCATAACATTTCCTTAGGAACATTGTGTGACACAACAGTTCTACAAACATTTCACTGTTACATTAACTTCCTCCTTCAGGGATGTTCAGATGTTTTGCTGTGCTGAAATCAAGTCCAGCCTCCTCTGCTTCGCCCTCATGCTACTAGGAAATGTTTAATATTTAACATGCTTTAAATGTTGACTTTATCAAAACATCTAAATTTGAGTAAAAGTAAGTAAGTTAAGGTTATTTATATAGCACTTTTTACAGACATTTATGTCACCAAGTGCTTCACAAACTTGCAGAATTAAAAGATAAAACAGAACAAAACATCATAATAAAATAATAATAGTCATAAGAAAATGGTTGATGCACTGGAGTTGTTAAAAAGCTTTGCAATAGAAATAGGTTTTGAGCTTGCTCTTAAAAGCATCCACAGAATCAAAGGGGTAAAAGGTCACTCAAATAATCATCAGGAGCTTTTGCCACCACCTCGGCCTTATCAGGGTTGAACTGCAGGGAGTAAGCGCCAATCCAATTTTTGAATCTCAGTTGTCATACATTCTATTATGATATGTTTTCTTTGTGAGTGAATGTGCTCAATGTAAAACTCCTCATGTAGCATAGTTTTAGCTGTACTTTGTAAATATATGGAGAAAAAAAGTCTATAATGTATAAGCTATGAAATTATATTTGGCTATCCTATTATAAATCAAAGCATTTGAAAAAGGGAAAGATTACTTTATTTGAGAAAGTAATGTTATCTGCAGCTGTAATTTGAGGAAACACTTCATGTCAGTCTCTGTCCCGGTTATTTTTATTTGATCCTCTTCTGTGAGATGAATACTATAAATTACTTGACATTCAAGCACCAATATAAATAGGTGCATTTTCTGGGCAAATGTTTCAAGATGTAATTATAAAAATCTTTAATAAGATTTTTTGAATAAGGTACTTACAGTTTACATTAAGTGTTGCAGTCTCCTCTGTGGTTTTTCCTCCTATGAAACTGACCTTACAGCTTATATCAGTGTTGTGGTTTTCAACTGAAGGTTTAAAGGTCAGAGTTGAGCTGTGACTCTGTGCGACAGCAGTCAGATTCTCAGTTGTTGAAGCAGTAATGTTTCCTGGGATGTGAGAGCTGTTCTCTGCTTTTCTTCTCCACATCCAAGTGAATATAGGAGGAGACCCAGAGCAGAAACCAGGAGCAGTGCAGGTCAGAGTGACCTGCTGTCCATCAGTCAGAGGAGGAATCTTTAATTCTGCCTTTTGGTTAAGATCTGATGGAAACACATTTCATTGTTGAAATCCTCCAAAAAATGCATACTGCATGCAAAAGCTATGCATCTTATTTGCACAAATCTAGCATTGCTTTGATAGATAATTATTCTGTGAAAGTCTAATAACATCATGTCAAACATTAGAGCATTCTTATAGCTTATTAGCTTCACACATAAGAGGAGGTGCACCCAAAGAGAGATGCCATGCTGTGTCGACATTTTGGAGCCGAAAGAGGACAAACTTGTGGGCCTTATATGTTTTACCTTAATCTAAAAATGTCTTGTTGGTTGCCGAATAGTTAAAAACAAGCAAAAATAACTGTAAATCTTTCTACTTCACTTTCTGTTGCAATGGAGGAACATCCATACTTTATTTTGAGAAGAAGAAACAAATCAAAAAGAAAAAGTAGGAGTGGACTTTAAAACGGACGCTGGCATTGCAGACTTTCCGCTGGACAGGTGAGGTAATTCAACATAACAGTGAAGTTTATTTTGTCCTTATGTTAGAAACAAGGTAGAGACAGCTAGTTTGTTAGCATACACTGAATGAGCTCTTATGCTACAGTTGTTAGCTGCTGCTAAGATGTCACTCAACGGCTTTCTAAAGGCCTTGCAGGCCTAAAGGGGAGGCACAAGTCTGTCATTTGTAATTCATTCAGAGCACTATTAGATGGAGATAAATCTTAAATAATAAATCTGACTGGAAAGATTTAATAATTGTGTTGTGCCATATGCCATGATCATGGTTTTGGACATTGGGAACCAGTGTACATATTTTATCTTGACATGATGACCAGAGAAGAGGGCGCAGATTTGGTGAATAACAGCTGGGGGACCTCTGCGGCCCCCCCCTTTCAGCCAAAGCAGTCAGAGGCAAGTCACATGACAACCCACAGAGGTGTGACTTCCCAGCCCCCTCTCTGTGAGGACAACAAAACCACAGAGGACACAGGATTCTTTCTCTCTTTGCCTCCTCTACCTTGCCCACGAAGCTGGGATCCACTGCGGCAGGATCTTCAGCAAGAATGGAGATCTGGGCTCAATAAGACCCAGATCTCCAGAATCATCAAAGATAAGTCATCATGGACCTTTCAGAACCAAACTGCTGCAAAGCAGACCTTTTGCAACACATTTCTCTTGAGTTTCAGAACTTATAGAGCCACTGAAACAAAGAGGACCCTTGCTGTGTGCCACTAAGACATAGAGAGTCTGCCTTGCTGTTGGCCTGATTGCTGAGCTGTTACTGGATGAAACTCAAGCCTTCCAAATGGAAATGGACAAAAAGGTTTGCAGGACCGGCATGATTAGTGACAGAACAAACAATATGTCTTTTGATGATGTTGATCATTTCATGTGTTTACTGATAAGTAACAACAAAGCAAACAGGATAGATCACATGCTACGCAATGCTACAGGAATATGTTGTGAGCTATTGTTGAAGTTTGGACATGCTTCATTTCACTAAGGGTTTAAACACTGATATAACATTAGTGTTCATGTGTTCCTCATATGCTCATTACAAGTCGATTACCAGGTATTACCAAGAGTCATGTAGTGGAATCCTGAAGTCTGTAGTGGAATCCTGAATAATTTGACTAAAGGTTTTTGGGTCTTGAATAAGCAAATGATTTAATAAATCATTAGTTGGCCAAATAAAGTTTTATACACCTCATGGATTTGCATTGTGAATTGGTCTGAAAACATTCCAATTTCTTTAAATTAGTAAAAAGCGAATTTGATCATATCCCAAATTCTTCCAGAAAAACTTTGGTTTCAAACACAGAATCAATCTTAAACTGTAATATGCTTTTCAACCATCTTCCCCTTCCTCTTTGTACATAGTAGTTTAGATTAGTTGAGTTTCACTAGTCTTTAGTGAAGAGTTTTAAACTGAAACATGTTTGACTTGAAACTGAATGATTTTTGTTAATAAACTCTTATATTCTGAACAGAAGTTGAGGTGAATTTATTCCATGTATATGCAGAATTAACTGTTTGACCATGATTGTTGCTCGAATCACTCTTTCATTTATTGTTCTAACACACAACTAGTGTTCATACACAAAATATATAACAAATAATATCTGATTAAATAAGATATTTACCACCCCTACCGGGGAGGGCAATAGACATCTTCAAGTATCAGAAATGTAAATTCCCAGCTGGCTGGGAATTTAATTGAATATAAATCCACAACATTAATGTGGCATCCAACCCAGATGAGCATTGAACATAAAATCACAACAACTGTAGATGTTTTTTATATTAAAAAACAAAAGGAAAGGTTAGTTCCGACAATTATCTACAATTACAAATATCTAGAGGTAAAAAAAAATATCAACAATAACGTTTTTCTTTACATCTAGACATCTGATCATGCAAATCTGTGCTGTTTCTTACCTGTTACAGAGAGTAGTAGTTTTGCAACAGTAAATGTAAATTTATCCTTTTCTCCTTCTCCTTCAACTCTGAGCTGATAATATCCAGAATCAGACACTCTGAGATCATTGACTATGATGCTGCAGTTCTTCTGAGTCACATCAGGTTCCAGCAGTGATACTCGACCTTTGAACCCAGACTGAACGTTTGAACTCCTCTTGTCAGAATTAAAGACAGTGTCAGAAACTCTACATATTTCCTTGTGGTATTCACATTTATACCAAATAATGTATTTGGGTTCAAAGCGAGATGTGAAAGAGCATGGTATCACAGCACAGAGTCCAGCCTCTGCTGTTATGTTTTCAAAATTAACACAGTAACCTAGATGTTGACAGAATTGTTCTCCCCATCCTAATGCACCTGTTGATAAACAAGAAAAGTACTAAGTTAGTGAGCTTTGTTTTGGTGGCTACAATGACATCTTCTGCTTTTAAAAAGCTCTTTTTCAGTCAATATCTACACAAAGAGGTGATTATATAATGTTATTGTTGTTAGAGAGGTGGCAGCCTAGTGGATAGGAATCCTGAGGTTCTGAGTTCGAGCCCCACTCCCACAGTCCGCCAGTCTGGCTCTCTGAGCAAGACCCTTAAAGCCACACTGGGCACCCTGTGATGGCAGCCCAATACTCCCCAAGAGAATAGGTTAAATGCAGAGGTAAATTTCTCCAATGTGAGATCAATAAAGTTCAGTTATTATTATTGTTAGGATCACTAAATACAAAAGCAAATGACACATTACCTTTGTTAGTAGAGAGAGAAACTGTTAACCAGATGAAAACCAACATCCTGATTTGATGTATGAAACATCCACTTCATTTCCAACAGGGAGGAAACTGGTGCAGAAGTCAGCGAGAAATTCTGAATCAGAGCAATGTTCAGACCCGACATCATAAAATACAATACAAGATTTTCATCCTGTACACACATCATGAAAAATATAGACAGACCTGACTTTCAACTAGATGTGACTTTAGATTTTTTCAATTAAGACAAATATGACAAGAATTTATATGCTGCACAGTTTTGCTACTTTCTTAAGCTGAAGTCATAATTTTGCTTAATTCAACCAAAATATCCTGAGCTTCTTCATTTATTTTTTTTACCTACTAAGCTAAATTCTGTTTGGCAATCTGATGAGTGCTAAAACTAGAGTTATTAAAGATCTTAATTACCTTTTGGCTGTTCTCCTTTCTGCTCGTCTTCTGTGACTTTCTCTACTGAAGTCTAAACTGTTTCCTTCTCTGTATAGGATCTTCCTTTTTTATGCAATAAGGAATTTGTAACTTTTTAAGCACGTAACCAGCCTGGAAAGTGGAGCTCAATGTCCAAAATTAACTACATGGTTTATGACATAACACTTTATAAAAAAGACAATATTTTAAAAGAGCCTGAAAAGAGAAATAGGGGTATGGGGGGTTGGGGTGAAGAGTGAGCATCTTTTCAAAACAGAAATTTTTTCTTTATGCTCAAAGCATGGATAGGTTTTATTCTCCTTTCCTTTGTTGTTAGCGCTTTAAGAAAGGCAACAAGCTATACTATGAATATTATTTATAATGATCATTATATACCATTATTGTATTGTAAATAATGATCATCCTTTCCTCAATTTTCTTAGCTTTGAATGTCATTTTTCTCTTATGGCCGCCATCAAACTCCCTGTAGTACAAAAAATCTGCTCATTTTAATAGGTGCAATCAAATCGTTTTGCACATCTTTACATTTACTCTGCTATATTTTGCAACCCGCCTACTTATTGCACATACAAAAAAATAAAAATAAATGCAATTTAGCGGGTCGCATTTGGAATCTTTAAAGATGCTCTGCATGGGCTGCTCTTCTCAAAAACTTGTTCATGTAACTTGTGAGGGTCAACTCCATTGCAGAGTGAGCAATATGAGCAAAAGCATTGCTTTACAGCAATTAGAGGCCCCTACACAAGAGCCAGCTAAGATAAAATCTGTGATCTGTGTTTGTGGTGTGGAGGCTGCAGCGCCTCGGACTGGAAGAAAGAAGAGTAGTGAGAACAGCAGAGAAGATCATCAGGGCTCCTCTTCCCTCCATAAAAGACATTTCATCCCAGCGCAGCTTGTACCCAGTCCGTAACATTATTAATGACCCCTCACACCCCCACCATGAACTGTTCTCCTTGCTGTCATCTACTGTAGGAAGAGGCTTTGCAGCATTCGATGCAGGTCCAGCAGATTCTGCAACAGTTTCTTCCCCACTGCCATTAGACTGTTGAAAAAAACTCTAAATTATGTCACCAACTCTGCATCACACCGACAACGCCAAACCAAATTACTGAATATTTGCACAATTTATATTAATGATCTGAACTTCCATATCAATGCCTTTTTTGGCACCATGTCTTTTCTCCCACGCCGTTCACATTTAGTCACTGCTGCACTTTATGAAATGGAAATGTTCTGAAAGCTGTGCAAAAGAAATTTCATTTCGTATACGAAATGACAGGTTGTCTAAGACTAAGTCTTAAGGATCCACTCGCTCCTGGCTTAGGAAAACAGAGTACTGTGCTTTTATGTATTTTTGCCAAGGTTTCCATTATCATAGAAAAATGTCAATAGATTTGGCGCTAGACAATTTAAATTAGGGCACAAGAGAGGACTGAAAAGTCAGTAAATATAGCGATAAAAGCACTAAGTTGGCAACAGTGGATCTGGAAGTTGCATGTCTAGCGCTCTCCTTGTGGCTAAAAGTTACAGTGTTGTTTTCATGTTATGTCTGCCCATAGTTTAAATATTAACTATAAACATTTAAAAATAAATTAACTTTGGAGGATAAGTATTTGGTTTTTCTTTTATTTATTTTCTAGGAATGCAGTTTATTTCTCTGTTTAAAACTTTGCTCTTCACACGCATGATTATAGGAGGCATGGCTTTTAAAGAGAGGAAAGCAGGAGAAAAAAAGGTAATATTTCAAGATCTCTTGGCTCTCTCTTTGTTTTAGTGATGTTACACATTACAGCTTTAAGAAATCATGCTATCCTTGCAAAAAGGGAATTTTGCTAAAGTGTGGGGAAACACACTTCCTGAAATGTTGCTCAGAGCGGAAACAAGTTAAAAAGAGAAGCAAGGCAGAGGAACCTTAATGAACAAAAGTGATTGGGAAAAGAAAATCCGCATGTAGCAATATTTGATAAATATTGGATTACGTTCTTATAAATAACAATGTGATGACAATTAATTTGCAGTATAATTTGCACAATTTTGAATAGGATACAGACTATGACAGAGATTGCACATACATTTGGCTGAGCTGTAGAAAATATTAGCCTTATTTAGCAGATATCTACGAAACGGGGTGAAAAGTGGGACTGGCCACTCCCCAGGATGAGATGCAGTTACGGTAAAATCTGAGGAGAGAAAACCACATCCTGTATTACTTTGTTTTAGAAATTTATATATGAGGCAAGTTAGAATTCTTGCTTATTCCTTTTCAGCTTTTTCAATGTTGCCTTGATGGCTACACTTTAAAAATGGAGAATATAGCCTGAAGAATCATGTTTGCCCTCTTCTGGACAACAGTGCTTTTCTCTTTGAGGGGCTCTAACACCTATACAGGTAGTTTTTTTTTAATTCTTAGCTATTTAGTCTGTGAAAATATTTGGCTTTTATATTAAATCTATCTTTTTTTTCACTGATAGATGCTTTTCCCTGTGAAATTGATCCTGTTTATGAATTATTTGTTAGAGAAAATGAAAAAAAGAAATTGAAAATACATTACAGGAAATGTAACATTATTGAAAAGTAAAAATCCTTTGTTGTGTTTTTCCTTTATATTAACAGCTGAATCATCCTTGGGAAGACCATTCTGTATCAATGGATACTGCATTACTCTTAGTGAGGGAGTAATAACAGCCGAGGCTGGACTCTGTGTTGTGATACCATGTTCCTTCAGCACTGCTTCTGGGTTTACACCAAAAAATATTGTCTGGTTCAAATGTGAACCACAGAAAAGAAAATGTTCGGAATCTGATATAATATTTCACACAAACCGCAACAAAGTTCAGCCAGAATACTTAGGACGGGTTGTGCAGTTGGATCCTGATGTGAGTCGGAGGAACTGTAGCATCTTAATCAATGACCTAACCTCATTTGATTCTGGATCATATCGGCTAAGAGTTAATGGTCTTTACAATGATAAACCAGATGGATTTGCACTCCCTCAAACCACAACCATCTCTGTTAACGGTAAGAAATGTAACTAACAAATGTGACTTCAGTTATAAAACTCATGTATAAATATATAATGTTTTTTGGCTTACTCGTAAGTTTTAAGATTTAATTTTTGAAAAGTTCACAACTAACTATTATGTTAATTGACGTCTGTGTGCAGATTGCAGAAACTGCATCAGTATCTAATTAACGCACAGTTATTGCCACATTGCAGGGTCCGCCAAAGGCAGAAGCAAACAAAGCGATTGCTTAAGGCCCCAGAGCAAAAGTCCAATTGATTGTTTTTTTCTATATATAATTATATCTATATGATTATAGCATCAAAACACATTTCTCATGATAGAATTGAGAATTTCTTTCATCAATATATATTTAATTATACATAAATTATTACTGGTACACAGATGAGCAATAACCAGTTTAAACCATTCTGAGACAAACCTATTTTATTAAAATTTATTTGATCATAATTCATTCATTCATGTATTATATTTTATTTTTGCACATTGTTGCTGCAGCTGGGAAGAAAAATATTAAGCCACATAACAGTTTTATTGTAAATAAACTACATTATTTTTTATTTTATTGCTTTTAGTGATAATCAATGCTACTAATAAGACAGTACTGCCATAGCTGCACTGAGTCTGTAGTAGGTGTGTCAGTGATTTGATCATTAGACTCTTGATTGAAGGATTTAATATCAGTTGTAGAAATATAGGACCCCAAATTAAAATTTTGCTTAGTGTCCAATTGAGACTTGAGACAATCCTTGTTATGTCATTGGGAAATTGTTTATCCTGTTAATCTCCCCTGGTTTTTGTTTATTGAACTATGTATTCAGCAGATCTAAAGCAGAAGCCCACTGTGATAAATCTCCCACTAACTGAGGGACAACCGGCCACTTTCAGCTGCACTGCCCCTGGTTTCTGCTCCGGTTCTCCTCCGGATATCAGCTGGATTTGGGGAGAAACTGATACCAACGTCACAGCAAACAACACTGATTTAAAAACTGAGAATCTGACTGAAGTCACACAGAGACACAGCTCTACTCTGACCTTGAACCCTTCAGCTAAACACCACAACAGCAATATAACCTGTAAGGTCAGCTTCAAAGATAGCATAACTACAGAGGAGACTGTGAATCTGAAAGTAAACTGTGAGTACTTCAATATTTGAAAAGATGTTGATTTTCTGGAATTTCTCATGTATGAATTGCAAGTAATATAAAGGCAACAATATGTTTAACTTATGCTTATTCAAATATGTGTAAAACCTGATCTACAGTATTTAAAGTACTCCAAATGTTTGATCGTTCAAACTGAAGAAAGCTAATTATATGTGAAAAGTGTCCTACAAGGAGTTTCTTCTTTTAAATATTTGAAAACAATAATTGTACATGTCACACCCTGTGTGGAAAGGCATAGCATAACAATGTTTTAGATTCACACCCTGAATCATTTTTGTATAGTTCACCACCAGGTGGCATATGAGAATTAGGCTGGGCTCTGATGTGTGGGTAAGGACATGTTGTATGCAGCTCCTGTGCCTAAACTAAGGCTTATTGCAGATAGTTCTCATTGAAGCTCCTCCGTCCTGTTCCCAACTCCTGTCTATTGATCTTTCATGAAGTCAACAGTAGGAATATGGAGGACCAAAACCAACATAATCAAAACTATATGCAAAAATAAAACACTTTTTGCATAGGTTCTGGCTTGGAAATACAAATCTGAATCTATACAAAATTGGGGGGAAAAAATGAGGGAAAGTAATTTAGAGGCATGTGATGCAGAAATATCTATCTAAACGATAGGTAGAAGATGAAGTCTTAAGACACCACCCCTCCTCATTTGCATATCGATGTAGAAATGCATACAAAATTATAATAAATACACACATAAACAAATAAGTAAGTAAAAGGATGAATGGATAAATAAATGAATACAAATAATTCTGGGTGTGCATTCATTTATTTTTGCATTTATTATTAATTATGTCAGTTTTGGTCCTTCATAAAGGGAACTCTGTCTTGGGTAGGAAAGGTGCTCATGACTGCTCTGCTGAATCTGGACAGCCTTCAGTTTGTCAGATTAAGACTACAGCCAGAAAAAAACGGCCAAAAATTTTTTTGCAAACAACTGAAGCTCTCCATTATAAACCCCAAATTATATTAAGGTTTTAATCTGTATAGATCACACAGAGTGCATGAGGAGAAATAATGTATATTTTTTGAACCCCATGTGGGAAGCCTTGGCTCTATGGGTATCGATCCAGGTGGCCATAAATAAAATAATTACAGTATCAAAAGTACTTATTTCTAATCTTAAATCACCAGAGAATGCTGAACTACATTGCATAAAAATTATAGACATATTCCCTGAGAGAAGTGGATGTGTTTTACATTCTCTCCAATAAATTGCTTGTCAGGCATCATCATTGGACCTGCTGAGAGCAGTCTGGTTAAACATGATTACACCATTTTTATCTGTATTTTAGATGTGTCTTTCTTAAAGTAATGCACTATATGGCATAAAAAAAAAAAAACAACAAAATGAAAACATGAAACTCTAACCTCTCAAAACCCGTTTTAAAGCGTTTACAAATAATAACTCAGAATGCATGAAAATTACACTTGTAAAATGTTTACCAATATACACATGTTAGACATTGTTGGAAAGTGCAGATTCTCCACAATTCAACCACCTAGTTCATTTTACGGACATAGCACACACCAAAGCACAATTATAGCAGCATGTTGAAATGTAGCATGACAAAGCAGCCACAACAAGCAAGCATGTCCTTATAACTGCTGTTAAAAAAAGACCTGTTATTTTTGAGAATAAAAAAAAACAACAACTTTAAGTCATGTTTGAACTGATGCAGCTTGGCTTGATGCAGCTTGGGTGTTTTACTCACCCAATTTTCATGTATATATTCAGAAACCAGAAGGTGTTAGCTTTCAAATAATGTATCACACATGTAATTTGGGCTTACAGTTCCTCAGTTATTTGCTTTTCCATTTGGGTATGTAAAATAGCGAATTTCCCAGAAATGATGTGAATATTAAGAGGCTAAATGACTAAAATTATATAAAAATCCAAAACCGATTGAATTGAGCTGCTGGAAGAGGAGCCATTTCAGACTCATTTTAAAGACAGATTGGATACAGACAAGTGCAAAAACAGAAAGGATGTAAATGCATTTCATTCTCACAATTACTAACATTTTAAACGGTGAAGTTTAGTATGCTTTTTTATAATTTGGAAGAGAAAAAAATATTAGACATGTTATGGTTGGGCATGTGTAAATGAGCTGATGGAGCAGATCATGCTACTGATGCAGATCATGTAGTGACACTGCTAGCCCTATTTGAACAGCACTTATCACCCTAAGGTTGCTAAAAAAGCTGAAGAACCCTCTTGCTGTGTGTCTGCTTCAAACATAACACACTCCTGTCTATTCTCTAGAAAGGATAAACCTCTGTTTCCTTTTATTTGCACTTGATTATAAGGTAATATGGTCACTGCTACCATTATAAATGTTATAGACTAAATATAAATGTTTGGTTTATTTTAGAAACTTGATGGTTTAAAGGCACTATTCTCTTCCATAGATAAAAGAAAACCTCAGATCACTGGATATACCACTGTGAAGACAGGAGATGCTTTGAATTTGAGCTGCAATGTTGAAAGCTTCCCTCCATCACTTGTTGTATGGACTAAACATTCACCAAGTGGATTTTACTTCCTAAATGACACTGGATCAGCAACACTAGTCCTGTCAAATGTGACAGCTGAGGATTCTGGTCAATATGTCTGCACAGCGACTCACTTGGGCGTCACAGAGTCTGTATACACTGAAGTAAAGGTGACTTGTAAGTAAAGTTAAATATTGAGTTCTCATGGTCATTCTTTATTTAACACTCATGAATCATATGTTTTAAGGGTTTTCCAAGATCCTGGAGGGTTCTGGATGTGTGCTTCAGTCAGAGCTCCTAACCTGTGTTTGCATCAGTGAGGGGTTTCCTCCACCCACCATATCATGGCCGCAGCTGAAGAACCATACCGAGTACTCTGTCCTTAACACAGTGTCAAACTACACTGTCAACACCACGCTCACCATATACAGTAAAACCTTCAATTATAGCAGTGTTGAATGCCACAGTAGCCATGAAAATGGAGAAGCAAAAGAAAAGCTCACAGTCGAACAAGACTTCTCAGAAAAAGAAGGTAAATTTTTCCAGCTGAGGACTTCTGCTTCCTATGAAATCTTCTTCCACATTTTTAATTTCTACCTGTAACCATTGCAGCCACTTACAAACAACAATTCTATATGAATGATGATAGTTGAGCTTGAAACTGTTTTCTCTTTCTCTCGTTTTTCCCTAAGCAGCCATTAAATCCAAAACAATTTTAGGAACAGTTCACTGGCTTGAAGTCACTGTTTCCTTCCTGATTGGGGTTCTGCTTTCAGCTGCCATTTGTTGTTTGGCTGCACGATGCAACAGGTACATTGTTGTACTTTAAAATAATTTTGGTGTCATACATGTTTACAAATTTTTTGTACATATTCAGATAAAGACCAATTTTTTGCCACATTTGGAGAAGATGGATGGATGGATGGATGGATGGATGGATGGATGGATGGATGGATGGATGGATGGATGGATGGATGGATGGATGGATGGATGGATGGATGTTAGGTGTGTGTAGGTGTGCAAATTTATAGAGATCAGAGTGAGGACCATTTTTCCAATTTGACCATCACAATGAGGACTAGTTGTAGTAAAGTGAGGACATTTTGCTGGTCCTCACACGTTTTTTTATCAATAGTTAGGTTTAGTAAGGCCAAGGTGTCAACTGGGAGAGGGTTAGAGTGAGGTAGGCATTGGTAATGGTTAGGTTTGGGTTTAATGTTAGGGTTAGGGCATAAAAAAGGTTGAAAATGGCTGAAAATCAATGGAAGTCCATGGAAATCAACACATGGTCTTCACTACAAATCGCAGGAGAAACATTTGCTGGTGTGTGTGCATGCCATTCATGAGACAAATGCTAAATCCATCTTCATCTTCGCACTTCAGTTATTCAGACAGGTTAATTTGTCTTCCCAGATTGTTGCTGCTTTAAAAACATATTTCTCCTCAGGAAACAACAGAAGAACTCTGAGAAACTGGAGGAAACAATGAAGATGATCTCTCAGGCAGATCCACTGGTATCTATCTTTGCAAATCTTAATTTAATAATGTCTTTTCAGTTAACGTAATCTGAAAATTAACTTAGGGGACTCATGAATCAGTTTGTGGTAATCCAAATGGGACATAAAGTAAATAATACACTAAGCTGTTTCTATTAATATTTGATATATCCCCTTTTTATAAAAGCACAATGTTTGAATATGTGATCATGGCTCAACAGCTGCGTTAGGCTATGGATTTACATCAATATTAGGGACTGTAATATAAACTTAGTTGCTCTCTTTTGGTTCTAACAATCATATGTTACCTTTGTACAAGAAACAACATGACATTATCAGTGGTTGTACATAAGGTAATGGCTGTGAAACAGATGCTCTTTAAAAGGGATGACATAACTTATAATCTAAAGTAAAATTAAGGTTTGACATGAAACCATGTCTGAACACTCACAGCCTTTTTAGAACTTAGAAAATGTTTGTAGGTAAATATAAGAAAAAGGAAGCAGTTATTTTGACTTCAGTCAATGTAGTAAGGGCTCTGCGTGTGTAATAACAGTCATATATTAAAGCTGATTAGAAATGCGGCATTAACTGGAGTTACTAAACACTTTAAAATTGCTAATGAATAATATAGTGTTAGTTAACACAAAACGTTGCCTGTTTTCTCATAAATTTGGATTTGACACCCAGTTTCTCCCTGTTCCTGACAGGTCGACGATGTTAAACCAGTTCAGAATAACCTAACCAATGTTCAAGAGGAAACTGAGAATCTTGCCACGGTTACAGAGAAGTCTTCTTTGGAATTCAGCAGTGGTCCACAAGATGTGCTTTATGCCAGTATTGATTTCTCTAAACTGAAGAGGAATTCAAGAGCGGTAGCAAAGAGAGAGAGCACATTGACAGAATATGCGGAAATTAAACAAGAGTCCAAAGAGCAAAGGAAAGACAGTAGTGAAGATGCAAGTGAAACATTGGAGGACAAAGAGGAGGACCTGATAACAAAGCAAGATGAGGAAATAACCCAGTGTGTCTCAGAGGGGGAAGGAGGAGAAGTGGAGGCAGTTTACTCCACTGTGAAAGATATTTTAGAGGAGGTCTAAGAACTTTGCTAATTAAAATAATAAATACTATATTATTCTGTTGCTTGTTACCTTTCTGGAGAGCTTTTCTATGGCTTGCAGGCCTGGCAGACAGCTGCTGTGCTGTCCTCACCTCTGGGACATTTGTGAAATGAAAGAACTGCTTATTTTGTTATTCTTTTAACAATTATTTGTATTCTTCAGTAAAAAAAGATTAACTTTACTTAAACAATAAAAAGATCGTACAATTTCTGAATTATTAAAATTTTATCAGCTTATAAAGCAAAAATTAAACAAAAAAAATTACTAAGGGTTTGGTTGAATATATTTCAATTAATAAGGTAGTAGGAAGCATAGCTAATTACCTGAATAAATTATAAAGCAATTAAAAACAACTGCTGTTAATGTATAGAAACAGCAGGACAGTTGTTAATATGATCCCTTCTGACCGAGCAGACTTGTCTTAGTTTTATTTTACAGAATATACAAAGTTGGGCTGACTGGATGCTACATTTAGACAACTGTGGTCAGAAAATGTATTCTCCTTTTAATTCCCTTTTACATAAACTGATTTTATGAGGGCTGATTTTACATTATAAAAGCAGTCTTTCAGGCCTTGGAGGCTATGAGGTGTCTAAGGGAGAGGAGTTGTTTGATCTATTAGGGAGTATTTGGGTTAAAAATAATCCTTATAACAAGCTAGACGTTTTCTCAGGGTTTATTCATAAGATTTTACTGTTTTCTCCAACTGTCTGTAATTTTTTTCATTCATTGTGCTCTGGCAACCTTTGCAGCCTTTCCATAGGGTTTAAGTTAGTGAGAGGAACTGTTGTCTAACCAGAATAGGGCAGAACATCGACCTGGAAGGTTTACTGTCTTGCTCTCTCTTTGCAAAAAGGATAATAAAATGCTGACTGAGTGAATTACCATCTATCTCCTTTAACTGGATTGCATAATTGAATACTTTTTCCCCACAACAGTCCCTTTCATCAGTGTAGCTGCACCTATCACCTAATAGAGTCACCATGCCATGTCATCATGTATATTTTCAGTAAAAAATCAAAAAACATACTGTTACATTTATTCATAGCAATCTCTGTGTCTTTTCTAGCTTATCTGAGGGTTCCTGAGTCTACCCCAATGTTTAATTACCTTCAACCAAACTTCCATTAAAAGTTTTATCCCAAATGAATGACCTCTAGGCCTCTTTTTTCAGTAAACCTTTAAACTTAATTTGTTGTGGCGTGATCATGTTACTAATATATATCAAACAAGCAGAACAGTTCAATTAACATTTTTCTTCATCAATATAGTTCAGTCATCATGATGGGGTTTTAATTCCGTTAGTATGTGAGGGTCGAGATTTAGTGAACCACAAGCATTAATTTATTACCAACATACTAATAAACAAATAGGAAAGGTGTAAACGTATGCTAATCCAGATATTTACACTATTTAAATTAAACTCTGTGTGAATAAACAATTGTAATTTTGAAGGAACAGAATCAAACTGTGAATGAAAATAGGCTTTTATTTTGAAAGTACAGTCTATAAATAGAAATAAAGTCTTTTTTACAGCTTCTCCTGAACTAACCTAAGCAAAGAGATTAAAGAAGCTCAGTGAGAACTTTAGCAAACCCCTAAAACCTGTATTTGATAACTGTGTTTTAAAGCCTCAGACTTCTATACATCTGCTGAGTTTCTCCAGTTGAAGAAATGTTGTTTTGCTTATGGCCATCTGGGTTAAAGGTAACATTATAGTGTTGCAATTTAAGCAACAGAAATGTATAGGTTTGGCTTCTCACACAGT